GCAACCAGTCATTTATTTATGAATCACTTTTTATGGTTTTGCTTCTAAAAAATAGTTGTGGTGTGACCAATGATTTTTAAGGATTTTTTTTTATAATAGTCCAAATATTCAGTGTAGTTTCACAATTACTACAAGGTCATGATACATGATACATTCTACAAGAATTGTTGTTTAAATGTAGTTCTGTCATGACAACTCTCGGAGGGATTGGCACGGTAATGTACATGACAATGTTAATGTATTTGGTCTTGGCGGAAAAGATCTGCTACACTGATGCTGCGGCAGCAGAGCATGTACCGAGACTTGCTACTGCCAATACATCCACAACATTCTGCTGTGAGCATGTAAGAAATACTGCTGCTGCAAATAGATCTATACAGGTGGAGCTGGGGAAGGTGAAGGGTTTCTGAAGCAAGCTGCAACTGCTACAGCAAACACTAGTCATATATTTGAATGTTGAGCAGCGAGCTCATTGGCTACCGATACAGGAGAGAACCAATCAGCTGTGCCATGTGATAAGGATTTCATCAGGTCAGAATGAGTTAGACCTATCGGACTGCGCCATCTAGAGTTTCATGCCAGAACTCTAAACTACCAATTTATGATGTGCATGTTATTGATTACCTAGTTAACATATGAATACTACTAAATGACTGCTGAACGACGAGGATCGGCTCACCTGGCGTTCTCTTGAACTCCAACGATCTCCACTTCACTGTCTGTGGACGCCAGACTCACCTGAGATGGCTGGACTTCTACTGCAGTAACTGCACCTACACAAACAACACACTACATTCAGCAAAACGACAAAAACCCTACAGCTTCAACATTCACTGCCATCCTCAGAATGAAATGTGAGAGAAACTGATGTAACAAGATTTTGTCAACGGAAAAGGGTGAAATTGTACAAAAATCACAAAATGTCTCTTTGGTAGTGCAAGGGATTGTGATCTAAATGCATGTATTGATGCACACTTTTGAAAGTACTACAAGTTTGCTAATCTAATATTAGTATGCGAGTTGGGATGCAGCCATTGCGTATGAATGTACAGTCAAACTACAGTAGAAACGAACCTGAGAGCGACTGCGACTGCTGTTCCTGTTTGGAGTGAGTGTCTGAAATATCATAGTGTCCAATCACTGCAGGACCCACTGCAACACACACACACGCCATTCAAAAGATTCGCCACCATATCTATACGTGCATAATTCTGCTGTGCCATTTATTTATTAGTCTAATTAGTTCTAATCTATATTTCCAAATGCTGGATTAAAGATTAAATTGAATCACTGAGTGTTTTGCTTTTAGGTTTAAACTGCATTTGTAGCATGCTGCCGACTGCCACAGATAATTTTATTATTTCCCAAATAAAAAAGGAAATTTAAACAGCATTTACATTAAATGCACAATACACATTTTGCAAGCAATAAAGCATTAACCCTCATTCTGAACAAGAAGAATGCTGAAGGTAGGCAGTGACTATTTTCCATACTATGGAAGTCAACAGCTACCGCCAACTGTTTGGTTACCAACATTCTTCAAAGTGTCTTCTTTCGTGTTCAACAGAAGAAAAACTCATACAGGTTTGGAAAGAACTTGAGCGAGGGTAAATGACAAAATTTTCATTTTTGGTAAGCTATTCCTTTAATGTTATCTCATTGGACTAAAACTCACTGACTTTGCTCAAAAAAACTTCCCTAAAAATTGATAATTTTGTACTTTTTTGGGACATTAAACTTGCGGCGTTCACAGTCAAAAATGACCAAAAAAAAATTGCGTATAAGTTTCTCTTTATGCTATATTATTACCAAATATCTGATTCAATCTTTTTATCAACTTCTTTTTTTTTTCTTAGCACAGGTTTTTTTTTTTTTTTTTGAACTGCATCATTGATCTAAGCTCAGTTTTTGAGTGAATACTGACAAAATTATCCATAAATAATGCCTTGTTTCACTGGAAAAAGTGTTCAGAATCCCTTTTTTTCCCGCAATGCAACATTTTCTAAGAGAAAGAGGATATTCGACAGTAAAAATGTGTAAGGACTTTATTTTATCCATCAGGAATTGAATGTACGTCTCTATTATTGAAGGTTTTAAGACTACAAAGACAAACGTTTTTCCTTTATAGAATAATGTGCACTGATGAACTGTTCCTTATAAGACCAGGAGGATGTGTTATTAAAGTAAATATGGTCAATTTGTTTTCAAAAAAGGTTCTACAAAATTATAGTCTGTGATAATAGACCCATACATGGACATTAAATGTAAACTACCTGGATAATAAGGCTATGAAATTCAGGCAAAACAGATGAATGCTGGTAAAATACTTGCATATTTATTTACTAGCTAACGACAGAGCAGATATCACACGTCAATAATGTGTTACATAGACATGAAAACACAACTGAACGTCGCCTGGCACACTTTTACGTTCGGTGAGGCAGTAGTATAGGACATTAAAAATAAAGAAAACATATTTGGAACAAATAAAAATACATCTATCTCTGTTTACTCATTTCTTGGTTTCTAAGGAAGGAAGGAAATTCTGTCCTCCATCTAAAACATTATGACACTAAACTTAGTCAGCCTGGTTATTATTACACAAAAAGACATAAAAACGTAAACAATCTCCTATCAGACACTCTATACAGTAAAGCAGTACAGCAAATAGCTTTCAAGTCCTCCTGTAAGTCCGTAACTACAGTAAACCTTGACTATGAGTGTTTGTGTTAGTGTGGAGGAAGCACATGACGGCCGAATCTCATGAAATCTGGCCAGCTCATATTTCACCCTAAAATCAAAAAGAAATGACATGAAATTATATTTGGCAATATAATTAAGCCTATCTATATGCATATTAATAATTTTGAAATTGTGACATTAACAATTAAGAAGATTTAGCTGAAAATTTTTTTTTTTATCTCATTGCAGTAACATGAAAAAAAAAATATATATATTTTCCCAAATATTACAATATTCAAAGTAAACTATTTATATATCAGTTTTTGTTGTCCTGCATTTAATTAGATTTTTTTACATTAAAAAATGTTTGTATTATAGGATATTTCAGAAACCACAAAGCAATGAGAAGCACCAACTCAAAGTAAAAACAACCAGATGCATTACAGTAATTAATGTGCATAACTGTCACTAAAATTATTTCAAAATGCATTCAAAGTTAATGTTTCTAAATTTAGGCTTTGTTGTTTTTATGTAAACATCAACTTTGGGGTAAAATACGACTCTGACATGTTTTTATGGAAATCACCCTTAAATAGATACATATAGCCAAAAAAATGATCAGCAACTCTTGCTTTAGACATTGTGTCCAGAAGAAGTAGCAGAATCACCTGTTTATTGCATGTGCATCACGGACTGTTTCTATCAGTGTTTGATGTTCGTTTGTGTGTCGTAAGTTAGTATTTAGCATACAAACCTATGTACAGGCTGTCATTACATTACAGCTCTCTGTTGTCAGCTTATATCATGCATATTCCGCTTTGGAAGAAGCGATTCAATAAGAACCTAAACCAATCCACAATGCAAACAAGAGATCTTTGGTAGACATGCCGGCCCAGATGAAGACAAAAAGACACATGGCAGTCGATGCAAAACTTCAGAAGTCTCTTGTGGAAATAACGTCATGAAACAGTTCTACAGGCAAGACAAATGATTCTTTTAAATGATTCATCTCCAGGTGAGTGGAAGAAACTGGCTCTCCCAAAGAAATGGGATCGCAAAGGCACTGAGTGTGGAGGGCGGCCCTGAGATGCCAATATAAAACAACACAAAATGTTAATAGAAGAAAGACACATGAAGTTAAAGAAATGGTTTAAGAAATGAATTCTTTATTTATTCATCCTCATGTTGTTCCAAACCCATATTAAATTATTATTTCCACTGAACGCCAAATCTGAATTTTAGAATATCCAGGCTCTTTTTTTACAATGGCATCTGCGTCTGTCAACCTCCAAAAATGGAGGGGAAAAAAACAGCATAAAAGCCTTCAATATAACTCAATATTTTTATTAAATATCTTTATAATTCAATTAAACTTTTTTATTTTAGCATTTCTGGAGCCAGGGATTTTATAGGTTTTTTTTCCCCGTTATGTAAAACAAATAAAAAATTAACCATTTCATCTCATTTTATTTCTGATTAACTTATATATATATATATATATATATATATATAAACTAAAAATGGAAGAAAAAAAAAACTAAAAGGAAAGTTAACTGAAACAGACATCAGACATTTCTCATTTGAATTTTGTTTACTAAAATTATATACCAAAATAAATAAACAAAAAAAAAAAAAAATGTAAACTTGTTATATATATATATATAAAAAAATAATTCTAAATTTATATATACATATATAAAAACAAAACTACTAAAAATGACAAAAACGACAATGAACTTTTTTTTAAACCTGATTAAAAAATGCATAACTATAATAGTATCATATAATAGTAGAATAGTATGATACTAAAAATGATACTAAAATAACACTGTCTGGAGCTTGACAGCCTCAGTTTCTTGTTCACTTTCATCAAATTACCACAATATTCCTCAAAAATTCACATTTTGTGTTGCATGCAAAAAGCCAAATGGGTTCAGAAAGGCATGAGGATGAATAAATGTTCCATTTGTAGGAAAACTGATCCTTCAATAGAGAGAAAGAGATAGATGTGGAAGCCAGAATGAAGATGAATTTAGTAAGAGATAAAGAGAAAGTTTGTGCACTGTCCTAAGCCTCCACTTCAGCGGTCGAATTGAGTCGGCACAGTTGTGTTGCGTCAATGTTCTTTAAACGTTCGGTTCAGACGGCTCTGCATTTCCATTGACACCGGCAGTCTGAGGCGGTGGAACCGTGATGGCGCTGAGTCGAGCCATCTGATAGGCCGCCAGTGTTTCCTGCGACTCCGACGACGGCAGGAACGAGCTAACGTGGCTCCGCCCCTCTTGATTTTCGCTGGACGAAAGGTCATCGTCTGAATGCAGGCGGGTCAGTCTGTCCATCCACACACGAAAGCGCTCCTCGGTCTGTCTCTGCATCGCGGCAAATCGCGTAAGAGCTTCCTCCAAGACTCCGCCCAGGGTTCCGCTGGCCACGCCCATGTTGAGTTGGCCCCGCCCACGCGCTGATGCTCCAGAAGCGTCGGCTCGGCGATGGCCAGCTTAAAGACAGACGGCAGTGCCGAGAGAGAGACGTCAGACACACAGGAAGGCAGAAAGCTGCAGCGTTATTGCGTGCACACCGGCGAGCATGCTGGGGACAATCATGCAGCTCTCGAAGTGCATTCTGGGTACAGTTCACCAATGGTCACATGACTAAAGATGGCTTAAAGATCACACAGTGAGGAAGATACCAGCTTCTTAACCCCTTTAACACCAACCAACCCTCAGAATATTACATGTGAAGAAATAAAGACAGATGTGTAACAACTAGAGATGTTTGAAATTAACCTGTCTGAAGAACTAGTCAACTACTACTGCATCATTATGCTTGTTCAGAGACATATCTGAGAGCAGATGAATTTTTGAACAATAAATGCCATCCTGAGAGATAATCAATGAATAAAAAGGCTAATCAACAGGATATTACGCAAACCTAATCAAAGACCTCACGAATTATGCATAATAACAGGAATGTTAGGAAGATGATTTTACAAGTGCTAGCAATTTTTTAAGGTGGTGAATGTGCACAAAAGAAGAGCTTAGAAGACGAGGATGAATTTAGAGGCATAACTTCAGGGGAAAATACCTTAGACACATTGCTTGTGTTGTTATTGCTATCTAAAACTATTAAAAACGGATTTTGTTAACTAAAATAAAGCTGAAATTCAATATCATACATAAATAATACTTAAATATTAGATGAAAAACTTAAAAGTAACTTGGAAATGTTGCCTTTACAATTAACTGAAATAAAATGTTGAAGATAAAATTACTAACAATACTAAACGTAAAACTGAAATTAAAGCTATACAGAAATAAAAATTAATAATGACAAAAGCATATAAAATTACTAAAACTAAAATTAAACAAAAATACAAGCCAATTAAAAATTTAAATGAAAACGGAAAAATACAAAAATGAAAAATAAATTAAAAATTAAAATAAAAAGGCAAATATTAAAAATAAAAGTTAATTCAAAATATTAATAAATACTACAGTACTATATAGTAGTAATACTAAAATAACACTGCTGCAAAAGCATCTGCTTTAAAAAAATAAAAAAAAAAAGAAAAAGAAAAAAACAAAGCTAAGACTGAACAAAACTGGAACTACCAAACAGGCCTTAAAACTATATAAATCTGCACAACTAATATTACAATATAAAGTTATGATATGCTCACAAACGATCACATATACTGAGATTCAACTCCTGCCATGCCAACAATGTGGCCCCAAAAACACCCCCTGGCGGTCCCACAAGGACATGATGCATATCCTAACTAACAAGTATATGTAGAAGAATAAATCAACAAAAAACTGCAGACACATTACACACACAAGCCACAGATATAGGACACAAAGACAACAGATACTGAGGCAACTGAAAGACAAGTCAGAATGAAGAAAATCTTGTGATATTCTATTGCAAATCTTTCATTAAATACCTGGTATAATTTACCTCCAATCAAATGAACTTTGCACTGCATTCATTACAATTAAATTAATTTTGTGCATCAGCATTCATTGTTGATCATAAATATACTTGATTATAATGTCATTGTGTTTAATTGCTATTTTAGAGAATATCTATTGCTTAAACATTTGACGGCAGAAAAGCAACAGCTTTAAGCCTCGTACACACCGGGACGATTATCGCAGACGTTTTTCGACATGTCTTTTGTGTTCATACCCAAGCGATTTTCGTTGGCGATGCCGAGTGAATGTGCAAATTCACTCCCTGACATTAGAAGCCGCTTAATGAAAAACAGAAATACCCCGGTACACATCGAATCCTATTTGATCTGCAATTCCTCTCCATAACAACTCCCTCTTATCGAGATTTTTGTAGTCGCTGTCGCGTTTGTCATAAAGCCCTTTGTGTTCAGACACCAATGAGACCAGCAGCTACATTCATCTTGCCTCGATGCATCTTCTTGGTCTACTTACTTCCTCTTCGTTGTTAGGTATCAATGTGTGCTCGGCAAGAGCGTTTTGTGCTTGTGCACCACCTAGTCGTGTTTTACTGTAACTTCAGCAGCTCCAAGCATGTGAACAAAAGCGCCAATCTCATTGGTCGGCCAGTTTTTAACGCGGCGCGTCAAACCCAAAAATACGTCAAACCAAAAAAACGAGCCCGAGGCGTTTTTTAAAAAGTGACGCTTTTACGCCTCGCGTTTTGCGCATCGGTGTGCACACTCACATTGGCGCCCTTTGTTTAGTCACGAGGCGTTAAACGTCGGCGATAATCGCGCGCGATATTCGTCCCGGTGTGAACAAGCCTTTAGACTATTAAATGTACAAAAACGTTACCCAAATTAACTGCTGTGTATTTTGTTATACTTGACTTGACCTTGGATTTGAAAGCTTTTAAAGACTATCCAGAGTTAGTGGTCACTAAAGACTGAGGTCAGTGTGAGGTCAGAACGCTGTTGTATTCTGAGAGCGAAAAAACATTCCTCATCTGACGCTTTGCATATGAGGTCATTCAACATGCATGCACAGAAAAACCCACCTGAGCGCTGCAGGAGATCCCTCATGTGTTGTGAAGGGACTGGTGTGTGATTTGCCTGATCTATGAGTGTGTTTATTCAACCGTCATTCAGGAAACATGCACCAAACAATGCATGAGAGAAATGAAACGTCAAAATGGCTTCACTGCAGGTGTTGGTTTGTTTCAAGACTAGAGGTGAATATCTTCACGCACCTCAAGATTCAGTTTCGATTTAGAGTCACAATCTGATTCCAAAACGATTCTCGATGCATCTCAATTTTTCCAGCAACAGCAAAGGGTTTTAGTGAGATTTTATACCACTTTATACTATAGTACGCCTGCTCTCATCCAAAAACAGAAATAAAAATAAGTCAGTATAATCCAAAATAATGTAATTAACATTAATAATAATACATTAATACAATTAATTACACAATGATCAATTAAAAATAATAAATTTAAAATTAAAATAAATTACTGTCATTTTACTGGCATCATTATATATATATATATATATATATATAATTATATATAATTTTCCCCCACACCTTTTCTTAACCAGTTAAAAACAATGTGTACCGATTACTGGCACCATATAGTTATTTTTATTATTATTTTGTAAGTCATTCAGTGAGATGGTCAGATAAGCAATTATTTATTGAAATAATAATAATAATAATACATAAAAAATAATAAAAATAAATATAAATTTATTGCTGTGATTTTACTGGCACCATATAAGTTTTTTTTTTCAGTCAGATAAGCAATTATTTACTGTAATTAACATTAATAAAATATATTATTAATAAAAATTATTACACAATGAAAAATTTAAAAATAATAATAAAAAAATCTTTTAGGAAATGTATTAAAAATAATAACATCAACAACAACAATAATAATAATAATAATTATTATTAATAGCAATATAACATCAATAGATAGATAAATGTATTGCTTATTTACTGGCACTATTATTTTCTTAACAGAAATTAAAAGTGAGCTGGTCAGATAAGTAATGTATTATTGTCATTAACATTTAATATTATTATCAAATGCATATTTACTAATAATATTGAAAATATATATATATATATTGCTGTAATCTAACGATTTAGTTATTATTGTCAAATTGCAAAAATTAAAAAATTAAAAATTGGTTCCACTGGTTGTCAGACACTTAATAACAAGTCATATTGGTCGTTACATAAACAATCAATCCAGAATCATCTGAGAAAGAACTGTGATGCATCAGCGAATCGATTTGTTCAGGATTTGTTTGTGATGTATGCGTGTCCACACAAGGTAGCGTAGACAAAATGCTGTGTGTGTGTGTGTGTTCAGTTACCTGGTGCGTGAGAGTTGATTGTCTCTCCCTCGTTGTCGGACGAGGCCGTTAGTGGCGAGGATGAGGACGAGTGGGCTGTGATGTCGCTGTCGCTGGTGCTGCTGTCCTGGAGCACGTCGGGTTTGCGTCTCGCCGCTGCCTCGCGTTTCTGCCGCAGCTGTCGCATGCGCTGCTTCTGCTGCTGGCTGCGCGGGCCTCTGACGCGCACACGCCCGTTCACCTGCTTCTCCTGGCAGCGGTTCTTCTTGGCCACCATTGCCACGGAGGATGTGTCGCTCTCAGAATGCGAACGCCGTGACTTCCTGCCGGCCGTCTGAACGGGCGCAGGCGCTTCCTCCGCCGATGAAAGCGTGTCGGAGTCTCCCAGGTGACCGGAGGAGGAAGGCGACCGCAGGCAGACGGAGGAGTCGCTGTCTTCCTGTGCACAGGATTGGGCGGCAGCCGGGGGCGGGTCCGTTTCCTGCAGCTGCCCAGGGGCGGAGTCTCTATGAAGCTCCTTTAGTAAGCATGGCATGGAGAGAAGGCCGGGGACGGGCTGTTTGTCAGGACTCTGCGAGCTGATTGGCTCCTCGCATGATGGTGAGCTGGTGGGCGTGGTCTCTTGTCTCAGGGGCATGTCCAGCTCCTCTGTTGTGGCCCCACCCTCTGTGGGGCATTCAGGGAGCTCGTTGGCCTTCTGGGCATCAGTCATCTCTGGAGGGCGGGGCCAGGTGCGGAGTCTCTGAAGTGGCAGTTGACTGGCGATAAACAGGGGCAGTTGACCTGGAAAACAGGAATTGTGTGTCAATATAACTGCTGACTAGGGAGATTTTTCAGATTTTATTGATTAATTCACATTTAATGTTTTGCCACTATTTTATTTTGTTAGAAATCGAGGAATCGCGATTTTGAATAGAAATATTACCAAACGTTAGAATTAGACACTTTGACAATATGCCAATGATAGCAGTAAAGAGAAAAGAACAATCCAACCGCATGTCGGCGCACAAGATTAACCGCTCACGCGTGACGCGCTCATATCACACAATGCGCTTTTGTGTTGACAAAGATGCGATGCAGGCAGTGGAATAGGAAAAACATGCAAGAAGATGGGAGTTGAACTTCTTTTAACTTGAGCGCCGTGTTTTTATAATGCCGTTTCTTGCATGAGATGCTACAAGAGATGCAAGCACAACAGTCAAACGCATTCATGTTTACAAAGAAAAAATGGAATGGAAAAGCAGTGCAATCGAATAAAAAAACCTGTGAAGAACTACTGTATGTCTGATATTTCATGTTTGCATCATGGTGACAGACTGAAAGCTGCTGTTGTTTTTACAGAACTTGGGCGGCAGCCGGGGGCGGGTCCGTTTCCTGCAGCTGCCCAGGGGCGGAGTCTCTATGAAGCTCCTTTAGTAAGCATGGCATGGAGAGAAGGCCGGGGACGGGCTGTTTGTCAGGACTCTGCGAGCTGATTGGCTCCTCGCATGATGGTGAGCTGGTGGGCGTGGTCTCTTGTCTCAGGGGCATGTCCAGCTCCTCTGTTGTGGCCCCACCCTCTGTGGGGCATTCAGGGAGCTCGTTGGCCTTCTGGGCATCAGTCATCTCTGGAGGGCGGGGCCAGGTGCGGAGTCTCTGAAGTGGCAGTTGACTGGCGATAAACAGGGGCAGTTGACCTGGAAAACAGGAATTGTGTGTCAATATAACTGCTGACTAGGGAGATTTTTCAGATTTTATTGATTAATTCACATTTAATGTTTTGCCACTATTTTATTTTGTTAGAAATCGAGGAATCGCGATTTTGAATAGAAATATTACCAAACGTTAGAATTAGACACTTTGACAATATGCCAATGATAGCAGTAAAGAGAAAAGAACAATCCAACCGCATGTCGGCGCACAAGATTAACCGCTCACGCGTGACGCGCTCATATCACACAATGCGCTTTTGTGTTGACAAAGATGCGATGCGGGCAGTGGAATAGGAAAAACATGCAAGAAGATGGGAGTTGAACTTCTTTTAACTTGAGCGCCGTGTTTTTATAATGCCGTTTCTTGCATGAGATGCTACAAGAGATGCAAGCACAACAGTCAAACGCATTCATGTTTACAAAGAAAAAATGGAATGGAAAAGCAGTGCAATCGAATAAAAAAACCTGTGAAGAACTACTGTATGTCTGATATTTCATGTTTGCATCATGGCGACAGGCTGAAAGCTGCTGTTCATTGTTTTTACAGAACATTTATAGTAAATAATAATCTACTGGGGTGTATTCCAGAAAGCACGGTTAATTTACCGTCAGCTAAACCCTGAACTTTCGGTTGATTAAACCAAAACCTGCTTACTCGGGGTATGTTGGTTCCAGGGAGTAAGTTCATTAAACACAGAGTATGTTCCTGGTTAACATGCAAGGCATTCTCAACAGAGCGATGAATCGACGAGTCACTATGGAAACGGACGCTAAGAAAAGGTGAGCCATACTACTTCTTTCTTCTTCTGTTCAAAGGCCATTTGCATACTTGGTTCATATCGCCACCTAACTGGTGGTTGTGCAATAATTTTTTTTTTTTTTTCCCATTTAATCTTGAATTCTTCAGAATAAGAATTATATTGTTTGTTTGATGCTAATAATATAATAAGTCATATCAGATATGTATTTTTATTATAGAAATAAATGATAGAAAATGTCACGCATGTGCTGATAGCTCTTAAGTGAACTAACCCTGAAACAGAACCTACTCTGGAGCAGGTTATCTTCAGAAAGCAAGTTGCTATGGCTACTTACATACCCTGAAATTAACCTCCGTTGTTGGAACCGAAAGCGGAGTTCATTCGCTTGCTTACCCTTAAACATACCCGGGTATGTCACATAACCTGCTTTCTGGAATACCCCCCTGGTGTTATACCTTTTGAATTACCTTGACTTTTGAGATTTTTTAAAAAGCATTTTCCTCGTATTATTTCTGAACATATAATATGTATAAGACAAGTTTGTACAAGATGTAGTTGTAGTTAAAGATATTTAACAAGTGATTTGTTTAACATTTACATCATGTTGACAACTTCATGTGTGGTTCACTTGGAACAGAATTTTCTTTAAAGGTGGGGTAAGCGATTTTTCAAAAACACTTTAGAAAACTGATTCGGGCCGAATAGCAAAACACACGTAGCCAATCAATAATGAGTTCTATAGTATTTTGTTGCGCCGCGCCACGGTGTAACATTGTTTTTGCTTTGTATCACAGAACTAATCGTTGCCTGGGTTGCATACGTATGTGTGGGGCGGAGCTATCAAAATAGGGGCGAGACCCTTCTGGGGTAGGGGCGTGTTTGTTTTGGTAATTTCAAATGTCAACACTGGCTACCAGAAATCACTTACCCCACCTTTATTGAGAGCATTACAACCAGAAAATGAACGTTTTTGTCTTCATTGGGATTAGGGTTGAATGCTTACGGACATTTTGCTCTGTTTTGTTTGGGTTTAGGATATGTAATAAAATAAATTGTATTGCCCATCCTCTCAGGATACCTGGAATCAGTGTTACAAGTACCACAGGCAGGCACATCGTTTTTCCATTTTCGTAGCATAAACACCATCAGACCGATGAAAGCTTCGAATCTTCCAATGTTTCTCTACGGCGCTGAAACCTACAGATGTCCGAATTCCGCTCCCCGTGCAACTGATACTCGACTGCCATTGGCTCATCTGCGTTCGAGGGGAGGGGCTGACCGATAGGTCAATTGGGCGGGTTTTGTTGTGAAAACCTGGCAACCCTGTGGTTAGCCTAGCTGGCTTCACGTTCGCGCAGTAATAAAGAAAGTTACTTGAATCATGTTGTAGTTAAATTTTTTAAAGTTGGAGTTCAAAAAAAAAAAATTCGAGATTAAAATTTTTTTGCCATATGGCCCAGTCCAGTCCTATTGGTGACAAATGTCTAATGTTTATATGGTTAGTTCGGTTTCTCATTCATCGACCACCGCTGGGTGGCTTCGGGTAACCAGCCAGAACACTGAACTATCACGCACCAGTGAAGCTCTTATCAACCTTTCTACATGTCATCGGACTCCAATGCACAATGCTGCATTTCACAACAGCCTGGCCTTGAAATGCTTTCAAAACTTTATGTCCATAAACAAATTTTTGCTGCGATCAAGTGTTTGAAGAGGCCTCGGTCACAATGCATGAAAACTTACAAATAGGGTTTGCTATATTAAAAACCATTTAATAGAAACTGATCTCACAAACAGCAACATATATGCAATATATTTAAATCTTAGATCACAATATTTCAATGTAAGCATAACTAGAAAAGTTCATACCGACTATAAAAATATTAATAACTTCATCAATTCAAACCAAAAATATATATAAAAGAGTTTATACCGACTATATAAATATTCATGACTTTATTTGATTAATTCCATGATTTTTACAGCATGGGAAAATCACAATTTTAAATTTCTCTCATAAGTTTTCCATAACCTGTGAAAGAAAACACTACAGATCTTTAAATTCTCCTCTCCAGACAAGCAAAATCAAAACTTTACTACTGTAACTCATGACCCTGTTTTACAATTAACACCACAAAACCGAATTCTGATGCTCAATACTTGAAACACATATGTACACATAAAATAATGGCATCAAAAATTTGGAATTTGATTTTTGTATATTGTTTTATATATACACTGCCATTCAAAAATTTGGGATCAGTAACATTTTTAATGTTTTTTAATGTAAAAAATTTGTAAGTCTCTTATACTCATCAAGGCTGTATTTATTTGATAAAAAAACAAAACAGGAAAAAAGGTAGTATTGTGAAATATTATTGCAATTTCTAATATTGATTTCCTATTTTAATATACTTTAAAATATAATTTGTGATGCAGCTTTTTTCATCAGCATCATTACTCCAGTCTTCAGTGTCACACGATCCTTCATAAATCATTCTAATATGCTGATTTATTATCGGTGTTGAAACTGTTGTGATTCTTTGATGAATAAAAAGTTAAAAAGAACAGCATTTATTCAAAATAGCTAACAATGTCTTTACTATCACTTATCCATTTAACACATCCTTACTGAATAAAAGTATTAATTTCTTTAAAGGGGTCATATGATGCTGCTAAAAAGAACATTATTTTGTGTATTTGGTGTAATGAAATGTGTTTATGCGGTTTAAAGTAAAAAAAAACATTATTTTCCACATACTGTACATTATTGTTTCTCCTCTATGCCCTGCCTTTTTGAAACGTGTCGATTTTTACAAAGCTCATCGGTCTGAAAAAGCGAGGTGTGCTCTGATTGGCCAGCTATCCAGTGCGTTGTGATTGGCCGAATACCTCAAGCGTGAGACGGAAATGTTACGCCCCTCACATACTGGTGATGCCGTATCCGGCTGGAGCGACGAGACAAAAACATTAAAACCCATTACAAACTAGGCATTTGTTGCATCCAGTGGGGACATAATTAATGATTATAATGACTTATACTGTATTTTTGCGCGTTGCGTTGCATCGCGCTGCGTAAACATAAAACTCTGTCTGCATTTGTGATCGGAGAAATGACAAACAACAAGTGCTACTCTACTGCCCAAAACTCGCGTTTGAATCATCAGTGGCAACGAAAAACACAGCGGCCTAGCGTGAGGGGAAGCCCCGGCTTAGCGTGCGCTGAGACCGGGCTGGACTCCGCTTCGTCCACGGTGAAAGTTGTAGTATTCCCTCAGCGACCAGCACAGATCAGCTCCAGGCATGACGAAGCGGATATCGTCCTTTTTTGGAAGGCCAAACAAAGTAGTTTCGCTTTCACAACGAAACACACAGCATCTTCAGGACATGGCTGCAGCGTCAACAATACTACAGCGAGAATAAAAATTACGCCTTCTTTCTTTGCGTGAACATTTGGGAGGCGTTATGCAAATCTTCCCACATCGTGACATAGACACGTAGGGGCGTGTTAGAACGAGCCGTTTTAGGTAGGCGTGGTTAACTCTTAACTTTTATAAAGAATATCTCTTTGGTTTTGAGACTTTAGTCTTTGCAACTTTACAGATCTTCTTTATGCACCAAGAGCTTGTAACACTCCAAAGAGAAAGGAAAAATTGAAATCGCATATGACCCCTTTAAAAAAAAAAAGAGAGAGAAAAGAAAAAATGTATTAAACCCAAACTTTTGAATAGTAGTGTATAACACAATTTCTACTTTGAACAGCCCTAAACACTGTTCTTTTTATCTTTTTATTTATCAAATAATCCTGAAAAAAGTATCACCGGTCCAAAAAAATAAAAAATTAAGCAGCACAACTGTTTCCAATATTGATTACAAATCAGCATATTAGAATGATTTCTGAAGGATCATGTAACACTGAAGACTGGAGTACTGATGCTGAAAATTCAGCTTTGCATCACAGAAATAATATATTTTAAAGTATATTAAAATGAAAAATAAAAAACTTATTTTAAATAATATTTAACAAAATTAGTCTTGTTTTCAGTTTTTGATTAAATGTTTTTCAGCCTTAATGATCAAAAGAATTTTCCTTAAAACATTAAAAATCCTACTGATTCCAAACTTTTCAACGGCACTGTATGTATGTATGTATAATATATATATATATATAAAAAACGGATAGTTCCGGTCCTTGATTCTGATTGGCTGAGCCGCGTTCGAAGGTGTTGTAAATTACTCTACAGACATACACCTTTGTTTACTTCTGTATGTTGCTCGGCAACCACTTTGTTGGAACCACAACGGTTTCAGAGGAACTACATTGTTTGGTGGAAGAATACTGTTTTTATTTATATCATTACACTTTATTTGCTCTGTCTTATTTTGTGAAACCGTACTACGTATATGGAATAACCGTTTTATAAAAGCAATAAGCCCCAAGAAGCCATGGTTTACAGTGAATTTATAACTCTGCTTCCGTTGTGCCTAACAACGCCCCTTAGCTGTTATAAATTCACTGTAAATCACGGCTTCTTGGGGCTTATTGCTTTAATAATTTATTTTTCTAATTAACAGTACAACAAGAAGAAACAAACAAATAAGAACTTGTATTAATATTTTGAACGTTAGATTTTGAAAATGTCCCTTCCCCCATTAATTTTACATTTCTTACTACCAAAAACCAAATATAACATGTATTATTATAAGCCAAACACGCACAGACTGACTGCCACAGATCAGATTTCTGTATAGGACAATGATAACAAACTGTAGCTTCATGATTTTAGATACTATGTCAGCTTTGAATTCGAGAAGTTAAAATATAGATTCCAAAAGCTTCTTACACGTTTTAAAGGAGATCCCACATTCATCCCGACAGCAACAAAAACCGCAGCAGCGGTAAACATCAATGCATACTTCCTCAAAATCCCAGAATCAGTTTATAAATCATAGTGCGTGCATGCGATTCAACGCAACTCAAATGCATCAATGCAGCCGTGAAAGAAATGAACGGAATACGGCTCTTAAATAATTACAGAAATGGGGGGAAAAAAGTAAAACAAGCGAAATAAATGTTGCACTATGCTAATACAGACACTGCAGCACACTCATCCTGCGACACACTGTTGCTGTAACACTTTCAGTCTGGAAGCTGCACAACTGCTGCACTTTAACCGGTACGTCTGCACGTCGCGTGGATATAACCCGCATTTATGCATGTATAAAGGCGTGCATTCATTAAAGTGAAAGTAGGTTTGGGTCAAAACTGCAGTAGAGGCTCAAAATGGAAGGGCGCAGTGATAAGAGCGCGCTCGATAGCCGTCGACAGCAGCTTAACGTTACCTGGTTCAAATCTGTCCTCGTGTGTGTTCTTTGGAACATCTCAGGCTCGCAGCACCATATTCATGAGGAAGATATGGAGTTAACTGAAATTTTATGGAATAACTGTTGTGTTCTCGACTTTCCGACCGCTTTAGCAGTTTGCTAATTTAAAATGTCCCCACTAGCCGTCGCTGGAACAAACGTGTAGTCGTCATTTCCGCTGCGGCGGAGTCGGGAAAAACAAAAGGCGCCACCGTGAGATTCGGAGAGGAATTGCGTTTATTACAAACAGCACAGCACAACTTAGAATTCTTAGAATAGACGTGAATTGTAATAATCACGTCTATTACAATTATCAACACGCTTTTATTTTATTGTTTATTTTCTAAATATATTTTTTGTTAATTATCGAGATAAAGTGTTCATGAAGTCCACTTTCTGCTCCAGCTGGGCATCCAGGGCAGCCTTGGGGGAAAAGAAAACGTTTCACAAAACTATATCCAACAAAGATAAATAATATTTAATAATAATAATAATAATAAATGCCAAAATAAAACTAAATTAATAAAGAAAATTACCAGCTCTCGTTTGGCTTCCTCGATTTTCACCCGTGCAAGTGCTGGACTCTGGGGGAAAAAAAAGTACAACCGTAATGAAAACCAGTGTTATTTAAGTATTATTGACATACTATTATAGTTATTTTGAATCAGTTTTTCAGTTTATACTTCACATTTTCATTTTACTTAAAGCTTTAGTAATTCTGTTGGGTGTTTATGACATTTTTTTTTATGTCTATGTAGTTTTATTAAATGTAATTCTTATTTTTGTTTAGTATTAGTTATTTTAGTACATTAAGTCAATCTAAATTACAATTATTTCAAGTAATTTAGTTTTAATTATATATACACTGAACAAAATTATAAACGCAACACTTTTGTTTTTGCCCCCATTTTTCATGAGCTGAACTCAAAGATCTAAGACTTTTTCTATGTACACAAAAGGCCTATTTAACCTGTAACCTACAGTATATAATAGTGATAATAAACTGAGAAAAAGGGTTAAAAGAACAATGATAGAATTTTAAAACAATTAGCAATTATTTATTTAGATGTGGATGTGATTATTTTATTGAATAATGTGTCCTTCATACCGTGCACTGTGCTATGACAAAATAATTATTTATTAACCAACCCACGCATCAAACAACAAAACCAAGCGGTGCTTTCCTATGCAAAACTCACAAGATGGTTTCCATGTTCAATAAAATAATTCTGTCATTCTGTCAAAATCTTCATGCAAGTTGTACTTACAGGGCTCAAGTCACTATACGGCTCTAGTTTCTTCTTCAAAGGTAGTGTTTCCTCTTTTAGAGCTGTGATTTTCTAAGTATAGAATAAAAGATGAGAGAAAAGATGCAATTCAATTTCATACCAGCCTGTAAGTGCAGTTCTGTTACAGTGCATATTCCTTTATGAACATATTAAAACCTTTAAATCCAATAGGTGTGCACAAAAGATATTTATGAAATATATATAGGTTGATTAATGTCTAAATGAATGTAATTAGCCTGCAAAATCAACACAGTTACACATGGATCATTTTTGGCATTATTACATTTCATTTCAGTAATTACGACGTTGCATGAATATGGCATCAATCTGTAATCTGGTCAAGCGGTTTACCTCTGATAACTGCAGGGTGGCCTGATGGGTAAAAGAATCCTCCATCTGCCGTGAATCCAGCTTTTCCTGTCACAAACACACAGATTCTGTTTGTATAAGGCTGCATGAAAGATATTAAACTATAATTTGACAACTGGATGAAAATGGTGACACGCACCTGTGCAATCTTATTCCTGCAAGTGAGATCTCTGGATTTATTCTTCATGAAGTCCATGTTCAGAAGCCTCTCCTCTGCTGTAGCTGCTTCCACCTGCTGTATATGTGTGATCTTCATCAGATCACTGCAAAACAAATGCAAGCTTTAGATTTAAATTCAATAAATACATGTAAAAATTATTAAATAGATTAAATTTGAATAATATACATAAAAATGTGATTAAAACAAATAAATTAAATTAGATTAAAAAATATAATAAATAATACACCTAACAGTTTTAGTACAGTACTATAGTGCGTAGGAAAAAAAATATAATAATGTAACTTAATAGAAACTAAATATTTTCCAAATAATATTTCAGACATATTTATAATATTATTTTTTCAGACTATAAATTTGGAATTTATAAAAAATGGGAGCTTTTTAAATTTGAGTATGAGGTGCCCTCACATGAAAATAATCATATTTGGGGGTTCAAGGCATCTAAAAGACTAAAACCCCCTGTTTTAGATACAGTTGTGTAGTAGAAAGAGGACTTAAGAAAGCAGAATAAATGACAGTAAAAATCATGACAGGTAAGAAAATGTATACAGTTAATAACACAATAACAGCAATGTGACATGCATAAATGATCTCTTGTGTTTTCTTACTCCTCAAGTTTCTTCCGAAGAACAACCGTTGCAGTCATTTTCTTCCTAACAGCAGAAAGTTCCCGCTGCAACCTCCGGTCAGTTTTCTCTGCCTCCAGCACGTCATTGGTCAGTTTATTGATTGCAGGCATATAGCTGGACAGCCAAGAGTGTGAAATCAACCACAAAAATCACAATGCAAATGTCAGACTTAGTTTAAAAATGAACCGATCTGATTTCAGGTTTAAAGGAACACGCCACTATTTTTGAAAATAAATAGTGCAGCGCCTGAAAATAGTCCCCAGCACGCTCCCTGTGCAAGCAGGTGGTCACGTTGGTTATGTTGACAGAAGTTAGCCTATTTTCAGGCGCTGCGTAATATCATTGCGCCTGCTGCACCCATAGTACGGCAGCAAAGTTCCTTGATTATTGCGCCGGAATGAGAGTATAGTTCCTAGCCATATCGGCCTAGAAAATCACAACTTTTCATTTTCCGTCGGTCTTAGTACACGATGTAACTACAGAAGAGTCAAGTTTTAAATAGGAAAAATATCGCAACTCTTTGGTCATTTTTGAGCGAGATGCTAACGGTCTAATCAGATTCAATGATTTATGCTAAGCTACAGCTAAAAGTGCTACTGCCAGACCCGGAGATCGGCTGAATGGATTCGAAAACGGTAAAACTCAACTGTTTAACTCAGGGCCGGTGTCCTGCAGAGTTTAGCTCCAACCCTAATTAAACACACCTGAATCAGCTAATCAAGCTCTTAGTAGGTATGTTAGAAACTTTCCAGCAGGTGTGTTGAGGCAAGTTGGAGCTAAACTCTGCAGGACACCGGCCTTCCAGGACCGAGTTTGGGCACCCCTGGTTTAACTCTAGGGGAGTTGGATTTATTTTCAAAAATAGTGGCGTGTTCCTTTAAGATTAGGTTCCAGAACCACAAAGCATCTCGACTCAGGAACATGCCTAAATCATCTTGTGCTGTATATGATGTGTTTATGTCTGAGCATTATTTCACCTCCCAAGTGATGTGTCTCTGAGTTTGAGCACTTCAGCAGTTTCCTCCAGCGCCGACAGCAGGTCCACTGTGGGTTTGGAAAATCCTCCCGCCTGAAGTCCCACTGCCTGGAGAAGCACTTCTTGGAGATGAGCTCCTGTCAAGGACCACAAACCCCAAATTAATTTATTCCACAACAAAAAACTGTACACTTACAGAATCATTATGCATTTGTCAGACTACTTCTTCCAAAGTGACTGTCTCAGAGTCTCACCATCGCTGCTGTACTCTTCTGTTTTCTGCTTGTGGTCCTCGATGAGCATCTCTGCCTCTCTGCATCTCATCTCACTGCTCTCCGCCAGCTCGTACAGAATCTCCACTGTGCGCGTGTTCACTTCAAACTCCGGCACCGGCTGCTGCCCGAACACCTTCTTGAGCCACTGGCTCACCTGCAATTATGCAGTATATGCAGATGCAAGTGATTTGAGATTCAAGAATCAATATTTACTAGAATAAAACCAAGTTGTTTGTGTCAGAGCATCATGGTACGTTGATATGATTCTGAATGACTGCCATATGCATTGCCATTTTTCCCTAAACTATAAAGAATACCATGGTATTGCTATAGGACATGTTCAAAAACATAATAGTGCCAAGGTACTTTGTTCTTTCTGTTTTGTTCACATCTACCATATAAGGGCGTGATGCATAAGACGTAAAATAACAAACACGCGTTAATTAAAATTGTGTATGCAATGAATCTAGTATAATTAGACTAGTAAGTGTATTTAGTACATATAAACAAACAACGGACCTGCAGTGAACGTTTACGCGTTTGAAGCGATTTACATCGTATTCAGTACTTTATTAGCTTAGTGTATATAACGCTAATGTATTCTACAAAGACATTAACTCACGATTTTGCTTTTCTCGCACATTTTTCCACTAACTGTGTGTCACATCCGATCAAATTTATTTGACAAAGTTCCGAACGCAACAACTAAACGTCCCGCCACTGAATTTGTTCTTCTATTTCCGGGGTCTGAAAGCGCATTATTCATTGGCTGCCCAAATGAGAAATCGACCAATGAGATTCTGGGATGCAGAAGCACCGCCCAATTACAACATACAAAACATTTCAAGGGAATTTCAAGAGGAAAAAAAACAATGCATTAATAATTGTTAATATATATACATTTTCACAGTACGGTATTCTCTTTTAAACAATAATTTAAGCTCAGCATGTTTTTAAAGGATAAATAACCATTATTGGAATCACAAAAACTTTACCACTATGGGAATATAATTCAGCCATATATATACATATATACTGCCATCCAAAAGTTTGGGATCAGTACGATTTTTAATGTTTTTTATGGAGTCTCTTGTGCTCATCAAGGCTGCATTTATTTGATCAATAATACAGATTTTTTTTTTAAATTGTGAGTAATTATTTCAATTTCTAATATTGGTTTTCTGTTTTAATATACTTTAAAATGTAATTTAGTTCTGTGATCAAGCTGAATTTTCAGCATCATTACTCCAGTCTTCAGTGTCACATGATCTTCAGAAATCATTCTAATATGCTGATTTATTATCAGTGCTGGAAACTGTTGTGCTGCTTCATGTTTTTTTTTTTTTTGGAAACTGATCATTTTTTCTGGATTCTTTTATGAATAAAAAGAACAGCATTTATTTAAAATTAAAATAAGAGTCTTTACTACCACTTTTTATCTATTTAACACATCCTTGCTGAATAAAAGTATTCATTACTTTCAAAAAAAGAAAGAAAAAAATGTACTGACTCCAAACGTTTGAACGGTAGTGTATATTGTAACACAAGATTTCCATTTTGAACAAATGCTGTTTTTTATTTTATATTCATAAAAGAATCCTGAAAAAAAGTATCACAGGTTCCCAAAACATGAAGCAGCACAACAGTTTCCAGCACTGATAATAAATCAGCATATTAGAATGATTTCTGAAGATCATGTGACACTGAAGACTGGAGTAATGATGCTGAAAATACAGCTGCGCATCACAGAAATAAATTATATTTGAAAGTATATTAAAACAGAAACTGTTATTTTAAATTGCAATAATATTTCACAAAATAACAGGTTTTTTTCTGTATCTTTGATCAAATAAATACAGCCTTGATAAGCACAAGAAACTTCTGTAAAAAATATTAAAAATCTTACTGATCCCAAACTTTTGAACGGTTATGTTAAATATATAATAATAATATATAATAAAAAAAATATATATTTTAAATTTGTTTTGGAGTGTGTGTATATATATATATATATATATATATATATATATATATATATATATATAAAACGAATAATTATTCGTACAACGAATAAATTCAAATAAAGAAATGTAGTAACTTTTATAGCTTTAAATTAAAGGACATAGAATATATACTGTAAATGCATCAAAATATAATAATAATGATAATAATAAATGTATACATAATAAAAATGGTAATAAAATGCCTATTTACAAATATATTTCTAAAATAATTAATGTTGGTCAGAATTCTTTTACTTTCTGAAAAGAAGTAATCAGTCATAAAATATGCGCTTTTGTTCCTATTTTGTATATATATATATATTGTAATCAATACAAACGCCGTGTAATGGACATAACCTTGACTTTATAATACGTTAGAATTTACGTGAACAAAAAAAGTCTCGTCGTCGTGTCGCCGAACTACATCCGGGTCAGTCGCTGACCTTTCCTATATGAGCTGCGCTCGCGACCTCCATTTCCTTCACTCAGCTCCTCGCGCTCCAGCCGGCCGCTGCAGGAGGACACAAGCTCGAGCTCCCGCTACACAAACTATCCGTAAACATGCTCTCCGTTCGCGTCGCGGCGGCTCTGGCCCGCACCCTGCCCAGACGGGCCGGATTCGTAAGTCTCATTTTGTGGTGTTTTAACGAACGCGGAGCCGGTGAATGTCAGCGCTTGTAAATGGCGTGAGGGTGCGCGGCGCCATCTTGCATTATGAAGGGCCTGCGTATGCTGCGTCTCATTTAGCTTCATTTGATTCTCGTTTTCAGCTACAGCTATGTGTAGTTTAAGGGAACGGAATCTACGTGTTTTGAATTTGTATTTAAATTAGAAAAGCGTACGATTGCATGTTTAGCAAGGTTGTGATCAATGAATGACTTTCCCAATTGAAGGTCAGGAAATGCTGCCTGGGCGTATGACATGTCAGCTGTCATTAACTTCACTATGTAAACTTGGTGTCTTTTAAGTGTTTAATGTTGTAGCGCGTCCATAATCTATCACTTTTTTTGTTGCACTGTAGTTTAATCTTCATTTATGCGGAAGTTTGAATGACGACATGGTGCTTTGTGCCGCATTTTGATAACTAAAGGCAATCAGACAATGATTCATTGCAAATGAGAAGTTAAACAACCACACTTTTAGTATTTGTAGTTGGTCTGCTTTTAAAATCTTATTTGAAGGAAATAATGGGTTTAGCTCCAGTGACGTGGTTGTTGATCACACATGAAGGTCAAGGGCTTGCATGCAACAAGCTTGGATTTTTATGGCTGGATCTTAAGGTGTATGTTAATCACAAACATTATCATTGTGGAATTCTAGCCAGTATGTTTGCTATTGCAGGTTTCCAAGAATGTTGCTGCTGCATGCGTTGGAGCAAAGAACCTGCACACTGCCAGACCATGGCTGCAGAAGACGGGTTATTAAATACTACTTTTCCTTTTGCATTTGGGTTGTTTTAGTTTTTTTATTTAAAGTTCTTGGATTATTGCATTATTTATTATTATTTTTTTTGCTTTTTCAGTCATGCACACTCAAAACGCTTTGCATTATTTCTCAGGCACAGCGGAGGTGTCCAGTATTCTGGAGGAGAAGATTCTTGGAGCTGATACTGGTGCTGATCTGGAGGAGACGGGCCGTGTGCTGTCCATCGGTGATGGTATCGCTCGTGTGTACGGGCTGAGGAACGTGCAGGCCGAAGAGATGGTGGAATTCTCCTCCGGCCTGAAGGTGAGTTAGCAAGGGGTCAAGAGGTCATTGCTGAGCCAGATGCTTCAAGATGATTGATATTCTGCTTAATGCACACAATCTACACGGGTTTTGGCTTTGATTCACTCTGATTGTATATTATTTAAGTTACAGATGCATGTTTTGAGAAACTGGCGTGCATATGCTTAGTTTTTACTCAATATTTTAATTTGAAGTCTTAATTATTTATGAATAACTTGTTAGTTTAATTTTTGTAGTTTAATGTAAGTTCTATGTTTGATTACTTCGTGGCGTTCTAATTAAGTCTTGGTTTATTTAAAATAAGTTGAAATTTTACATACTGAAGTAAAATGTGATGCTATTTAAATAAAATGGTATAGCATAGATAACTTGTTTGTTTTTGTTTTATTCAGTATGAAATGGTGTAGTAGGAATAAAAAAAAAAAAAAGGTATATAAATTAAATATAGTCTGCCTACTTAAATAGTTGTACGAATATTTAACTACAAATGAACTGGGTTTTAATAATGAGTATGCAATCCTGTCACCGTATTGCTTTTGGTTAACTGGTGGCTTTTACATTTAATACTGTATCGTTTCTCTCCATAGGGCATGTCTCTGAACTTGGAGCCTGATAACGTTGGTGTTGTGGTGTTTGGTAACGACAAGCTGATCAAAGAGGGTGACATTGTCAAGAGAACAGGGGCTATCGTGGATGTTCCTGTCGGAGAGGAGCTGCTCGGCCGTGTTGTGGATGCTCTGGGAAACCCCATTGATGGCAAGGTCTGACCACCAACTGGATACTTGCATAGTTTTAGCTCTTCTTAATTTCTTTATCCAATAGTTGTCATACTTGAGTTGACCAATTAGTCTCCGTTTCTCCTCCAAAGGGACCCCTGGGCTCTAAGCAGCGTAGGCGTGTGGGTCTGAAGGCCCCTGGCATCATCCCCCGCATCTCTGTGAGGGAGCCCATGCAGACCGGCATCAAAGCCGTGGACAGTCTGGTGCCCATTGGCCGTGGCCAGAGAGAGCTGATCATTGGAGACCGACAGACTGGGTAAGATAGTGACTTGATGAATTTAAATGCTTGCTTCATTTGCGCATGGTCATCCATTTCAATTTGTTTCCTCCAGCAAAACCGCCATTGCCATTGACACCATCATCAACCAGAAGCGCTTCAACGATGGCACTGAAGAGAAAAAGAAGCTGTACTGCATCTACGTGGCCATCGGTCAGAAGAGATCCACCGTGGCCCAGCTAGTGAAGAGGCTGACGGACACCGAGGCCATGAAGTATACCATCGTGGTGTCTGCCACCGCGTCTGACGCCGCTCCCCTGCAGTACCTGGCTCCATACTCCGGCTGCTCCATGGGCGAGTACTTCAGAGACAACGGCAAACATGCCCTCATCATCTACGACGATCTTTCCAAACAGGTGAGAACTTGGTACTAAAGCTGCGGTCTACTATTTAGTGAACTTTTGCAGGCCAAATCCAGGAACCCATTTACTCCGCTAGCTCAAATTGGCTGTGGGTTTGCCACGCTGACCAATAGAAAGAGGCTTGGTTTGTACAAACTGACTTCTATGTGAGCTGTGCTTTAGTCATCGCTACACTATCGACTAGGGCTGTCAAAAAAAAAAAGTGATTTTTAAATATTTGTTGAATTTAAAATAAAAATCCACATTCGAATGCAAAAATGTTGCATTTGAAGTTTAGGTGTGCGTTAAGGAGGCAGCCTTATCAGTGGCGCACGAGATGCGATGACGATGTAAGTGTCATTGCATTATAATGTTTTTGTTAGCCTATCCAGTTGAAGTCACTAGATGTGGCTCTGCTGCGTTGTTAATCACAAATATTGCGGGAAAAGAGAACACCAATGTGGAGAAGATCTTGTTTACGTCAAAACTGAAACTAAGCCGTTCACACAGAATGCATATTTCGTGCATTTTCTAGAGGGACATCTATCACAGTTACGCTCGCATCTCGCACAAAGGAGCCGCATGTTTAGAAAGCCATGTAAAATTAATGTAAGTTCAACTTTGAAAAAACTT